TCAAAATAGCCTGCCCGGTTTTCTCTCATTCCATTTCGGCGCCACGGGTTACGAAGAACAGTTAGATGTTGAGAAATACGACCAGAATACTACTTGCAGCGCTTATAGAAGAAATTATATTTGAATGCGGAAGGGTCAGAGGACCGTGCTATTTCTCTGGAACCCAATACACGCGACTCACCCTTCACTCTTCAGAACAATATAGTCGCAACGTTTTTGAATGACACATCGACACGTTCGAGTTCCGTTCGTTACCAGCAAGTAAGGTACCATTCAAAGATGCAATATCGCCTCTACGATTGGGGCTCGCCTTAGTAGGCCATTCATCGACTTTAATTTCGATCGGCAGCTGGCAGATTGTACAACCAATTTTCCCATTCGGCTTTATATTTGCCCAAAATCGATTGAGCATAGAGTTGTGCCAACTGGAAAGCACTGCTTCACCAAATATTTAGCTTGCTTTCTGGCTTGATGCATGCACCTATCTGCAAGCTTCTCCGCAAGGGTAGATACAAATGGGATAAATGCAGCTTTCCGGGACAATTGTTGTTTAGTTTAAATATGTTCACCTGGCGGCGCTACGACCGCACTGTGATTAACTCTCAAGGCCTATCAGAATGCACGAATTGATATATTTCACACTTTTCTTTGATTAATGAGCTAGCTCATCGTACATGTCGTTGCTAAACTAATGTTTTGCAACAAACGATTTCAAATTGTTACGACGTATGTAAGAGGATCTGTCTCTAACCAGTACAGTATGTTCTTGTTTGTTCTATATGAGTAAGCAAACGAAGTCTTTGGTTTCAATTGCACTCCAAGGAAGGAATTTAAAGTAGAATTTCTAAATGTAAGCTTAAATGTGACGATAGAATTTTTTTTGGAAATTTTTTTTAGCTTTCGTACATAGTTCTCATGTTTTCCTCAGTTTTACCTCGCAATTTGTTGTTTGCATATTAACAACTGGCGTGCCGATCTGACAACCCTTTCATAAATGTATGTGGAAAGTGGGCGTCTTGCGCAGCATATCTGAACATTTATCCTATTGTGTAGCTGTATATGCATTCTATTGAATTAAACGTCAAGTGCGGTCAATGTTTTGTTATTTTCAAAGCCATAGGCAGGCGTTCGTAGTACTGCATTCAGCTTTCCGTGATGAAATGCAATATAATTTACTTGTTTATGAATGGTTATGCAATGTAGTCGAGATGAGTGTATCATCTGAATATAAATGCTTTTTGCTGTTTGTGTGAAAAGAATAAATGAAACGAATATAAAATCATGGCCTTAATCACTGTATGAAATTTCAGTTTGCGAAGCAAAGCAAAGGGTGCATGAAAAATTAAAAAAAATAAATTAAGGGCAGTAAATACTGAGAAAAAGTGTTTTATTGTTGAAGGAATGCGGTTGCACAAAGGAAAGAGGAAGGAAGTTCGTCTATGGCCTCATTCGTGTACATAAGCTTTTGATTTCTAGCTAGCATCAGTGTGCATACATAAGATCTTAAACATATTTGTCTTTAACTATTATTTCTATTAAAACTATAAGTTATTTAAAATATTTTTTTTGTCAAAACTGCTGCCGTCAACTCCCGTTAACCCATTATTTCATTCGCATACACGTTCGCAGGTCGTTGCTGCATTCTTTGCAGCTGTAAACTTGCTCACTTGCTTACGCACAGCAAGTTTTATTGCTATCCTTAATTATCGTTTATCCTTAAGATTTCATAATTCTGACTTAGGTTAATAATTTTCCTAAAAAAGCAAACAAAAATACAGTCAGAAAAATTCTCAAGGCACATTTTCTTAAAAGGTTGCTGCTTTTATTTCTATGTGATATTTGGAAGCATGATTGTTGTTAATTTTCAGACATCAGATTTGTTTTCATAATTACTGGGTGCACATCGGATTTGTAAACTATACACAATGGGTGAAAAGTGTCTCCAAGGTACGACGAGGTATATTTCGTGATCGACATGAGCCATGCTGGCTTGTCTGCATGTCCGCCCGTCTGTTGCAATCACGAATACGTTTTTAAAACTCTGTTAGAAGAGCGACTACTTGAAGTCCTTGTAGGTGTTATATATATCATACTTAATAACCCCTCATGCCACAAATAATATAGGGTATAATACAGCAAGGAAAAGGTTATTCCCGCCCTTGGGTCAAATCTTTGGTATCCAATATCTCGACTAGAATTTCGTTACTTACAAGCTTAATTCGTGGAGACGGTTTTCTGATTTGCTTTTATAGGTGACGAGTAAGTAACATTTGCGGTTAGCTCGTCTTGTTACGACACTTTACAGATGAAATATTTGATTTACTTGTGTGTTTTACCTAAATTCTACTTAAAATGAAAATCTTCATTTTATTTTTCAGGATTTAAATATCGATTGAAAGAGAGGACATACTTTGTCTGCCATAATATGGATAAGGATGATATTCTGGTGAGTGAGCAATAATTTCATTTGGATCTATGGGTAATCTGTGCTTTCTTAATTTTTATTTTTTTAAAAGGAACTTTTCACATTTTGTTTTTTAATTAATTAGTCAAACGAGTGGAAATAATTTTTTTTCGAATTTTCCAATGATTTGCAAGCTCTTGCTTGCTACATATTCCTAAGTAAAAATTGATAGATAAAATAGTTAAAAACCTTTGTTGTTCTTAGTGTTATAATTGAATCTTTTATATAATGCAAATTGATTTCACATTCACAGGCCTGTTGCAATGTGTTGAGAAATTTATCGCTCATATTTTTTGCGATGGTAGTAGTAGCACTAAAGCCAAAATCGTCTAATAACCATTTTCTTCATAATTTGAGAATTGGATTCCAATTGAATGGTTAGACGGAGTTCAAGACACTTGTTATGTAGCCGATAACGCATGCAGCGATCAAACGAGTTCGGACAAGGATCGGAAACCTACCAAAGACGTCCCTAAATGTAACTTGTTTTAATATGATCGTACATTTTGCTAATATACAGGAGAATATAGCATATATTCCACAATTTATTATCCATCCTATATATACGCACGCTTATAGAATTACTTCTTTTTGGTTTGATGAATGAGTGAAACAAAAATAATATTATTAACCTATTTGAAGCCGTTTACTTGTCTGCTGCTAAACACATACTTATGTTAAATTTCATTTGGATGGTGTTGTGGCTGCCAGTGGCAGAAACCAATTTATACGAGAAAAAAAAAAAAGCAATTTTGACAGAAAAATTCTCTTCAGATGTAATAGTTTTTTTTTTTCAATTTCAAAGAAAAGTAATATAGGTCAGATATGTTGCGCGAACAAACAAATAAAGACAAACTCACATGGGTTTATTTTATATACAAACGTTACTTAAAACAGGTTTCCTTTTATTGTAAGAAAGTAGAAAATTGTGTCTTCTGTTCTCATCTGCTTTTTTTGTGGTGATATGCAAGTAGTTTGACCCATTTTTACTGATGATCGCATGTGCTATTGTGTAGTTATAAGTAAATTATCAAAATTAAAGATTTTGCATTATTTTTTTTAAAATGACCCAAGTCACATACATTCTAACCCACATTCACGTTTGACAGTAAAAGTTTATCATTTGGAAATATTTGCTTTTATTGCATCCTATACCGTCACAATATATCGTGCATCTATAGAGGTTAAGTTTGTGTGAATGTGTGCAATATTCTTAAAAAATAAGACTACAGGTAGACCCACCTGAGGTAGCTTATTACACCGATTCACTTAGAAATATTTTTTGAACAAATTTGAGCTCACCTGACCTTCGATCAGACGGTGCGTCCATATACTTTTGCGTGCAATATGAAGGTCGTAAGGTATTTTCAGCATGCGTTTTATTTCAAAGATGAACTGTTTTGAAAATAAATTAGATCCGCCCATTTCTACAGTCACTTTCTCCCACATAACTCTTCCTACGTTCCGTGAATCCTTACACGATCATTTGATATCAAAATTGCAGGTAAATTCATTTCTTCGGCTTCATCATATATAACGGGTCTTATGAAAGGTAAGATTTTATATGGCAAAAATGATGTATTGGTATTTTATGGCAAAAATAGAGGGCAAAATATGAACTCTAATAAGTTTCGACTAAAAACGGTGCAAGTTTTGTGTTCCATATAAGGCCTCTCGTGAAAAGTAGGCCCTACATGCTTATAAAATATATATTTTCATATATCATGCAGGAAATAAATGAGGAAAGCCATACACCATTTGAACTTATTATCCGGCTTGGCGTTTGAAACACTTTTCCTTGAAGCTGGTTAAGAATAATGTTGCAAACATACAATTGCCCCTGAAAGTGAAAATAAATACAACAATGGCACACAACTATATGCTCCATGCGGTGTAAGCATGTAGAAAATAGCACTCAATTGCAAACCAATAAATTAAATCACTGTCATTCCGTAAGATCCAGTGATGAAAGGGAAAAATAAGTTTCGCCTGCAATTTATAGTAAAGAAATCCTTCACAATTTGCTTTTGTTGTCTTTAAGTCAATCAGCCATACGATGTCAGGAGCTATGCTTTTTGCAAAGTTTAAAAAATTATTAATTTGAAAGATTGCTCTCAAGCTTTTTTTTTTTAAACAGCGCAATCTAAAAAGAATAAAGAAAAATATGTCGTCATCATCAAGTAAATTTCCTTTTTCTTTTCTCTCTTCACTTTGCTTTCGTTATATATTTTTGTGAACACACATCGTTTTTGTGCGGAATAACAATTAAATTAGGTGGCTCCCAAAAACCGATTTACTGCATGCAACCTATACAATCGCTTATACATACAAAAAGCTACTTTTCCATAGTTGCTTTTGAGCGCTTCGGCGCAAAGCGAAAGAAAAAATGTTTATTATTCATATGAAAAATCTCCCAAAAACGCTGAGGAAGAAAATCTAGTTAGTTTTTTTTTTGCTCTTCGGTATAAGCCAAATAAATAGTTCATTTATATATATGTCCTTCGTCGGAATGTGTGTGTGTGTGTGTGTGTGTGTGTGTGCGAGCGCGCGGGTCCCTGTGTGTGTGTGCGTATGTTTGCCGCCAATTCTTTGTAATGAAATTATTAATATTCCACGCTGGCTTATCGGTGCTTAATCTTCTCTCTTAAAGCGAGCATTCATTCGCTCGATCGTGTATCGCCTATTTAAGGCCTATTATTAATAACAAACCTTTGGACCGATATTTCTAAGCTAATTCGATGCCGGGAAAAATAAATAATTTGGTATGAAACTTGTTTTTATAGAACGTTGTTTTCCAAATATAACTCTTCCTTGCACTGCGATAAAATGTGAAGAGATAAGTACGATTTATGATCAAACGATGGAGCTTCGTTGATCTTATATATTTCCCCCGATGTGAAGTGTTGGCACGACAAAAATCCAAATAAAGTTTTGGTATTAAATTATAGTACGCGTCCAAACCTGAGTTGAATTTATTCTACGCTTAATAATCATTCATCAACTAACCTTTTAAACCCTCAGGCGCTTATTAAAGCAATTCTTACTTTTGAAAATAAGTACTTGGTTGTCATTATAATTTTCACAATTCTTCCTAGATCAGTAGAAATATTTATATTCGTGTGCATGTGCATTGTCTTTTATTTATAAAATTTAAAAAATTTGTAAAAGGGTTCATTGGCTTGTAGCTTTAATTTTGGTGGGCCTCTTCGCTTGTCTTTGTTAAAAGTGGGGAGCCCCTACAACAAGTACAGCTTTTGATAACACCTGTTGCATTATATTACACATTTATTTAATTTTTATTTATGACAACAAATTTCGCTACCACAATCTGTACATTCATGGTTAAGTTGAACAATTCAATTGATGCATAACATAATGAACAGTGAGTGAGCAAATGTTACGTATAACTCGCAAAAAAACAAATTTGTTTGGAATAATACTAGCGAAATTCGTTTTACATTTAAGAGGACAATATTTATGTTTGTAACAAACAGTTTTGAAACAAACAAAAAAAAAATTTTAGCCAAATTCAGGGGCGATGAACTTCATTTTCTCCTATGACCTGCACTATTGACTAACTCCTCTCTTTTTCCCGTATTGAAACTAATTTTTTTGTAAACTATTTTTTTTTTGGACTGTCATAACGACTGCTCTCGGGTATGCATGAAAAAAGAGTGCAGTCAAACTTTAGCTATTTCTGGCTTTTTTTCGAATGTACTAGGTAAAAGAGCGGCAGTGTTTCACATCCTCGTCAAGCTATGCCGATATCCGTATCATTTACATCTATGGGCTTATGCGGGCAAAATTAGAAGTTTAGTCACATGTACGGATGGGAGAATCGTCGATACGATTGGAGTGCTCATGGGTAGAAAGGTTTGTGTTGCCTACTTGTTTACACGATAAGCTTTCTACAGAAATCTGAACGCCAATCAAGAACTTTAATACAGCTTGTCAGCTCCCGCTCAGACAAGTGGTTGATCACTTGTCGAGGAGTTATCGTATGGCATTAGATCGTTAGTCTCGTAAGGGAACCGCCAATCATTGGAATAATTCATTCGCAGAGCTTTTTTTTTCAAAGAGATGTGGTCACATTTCTATGAAAATGGGCGCAAACACTAGATTGTCTTTTTCCTTCCATTACGCATAATCCCTTCTAGCATTCACAGTGCTTAGATATGTAGGAAAAAAGTACACGCATAAATGATTTCAGATTCTCATGCTAATGAAGTATGCGTATCGCACAATTAGAGTATTGCCGCCCAATAACATGCAAAAGTGAACAGTGGAGAATGAAGGAATGAAAGAAAAACTAAATCATTTTATTAGCTTTTCTGCAGGTAATTGCCTGTTATTTTTATGTAAATACATACAAACCGGTTAGTCTTGCATGTTGTTGACGGCAGCTATGCAGCAAACCAGATTTTTTTTCTTTTTTGCAAAAGAGCTGAGTCTGGGCGAAAGCCGGCTTAAAATATAATACTGTGAAAAGATAGAAGAAAACTGTCCATAAGCTAACCGTTAAATTACACAAATGCACAACAGTAAAGCAGCAGCAGTAGTTTATCGAAAGTTATTGACCGGAACTAATAACTTTTTTTATATGTTTTTTGTTGTTTTTCGCTCGCAAAGCTTTATATAGTTGTTTATATAGCTACGTAATCACGGAAGGATGAGGGCTGCTATAGTCATTTTATCATACCGTTTGCAAGGCCCAGAAGGAAGCAACAGAAACTCGACAAAGTTTATCAGCATCAAATTCCTTATCGATTTAAGCATGTCCATCTGCGTAATATTTGTTATTCGCCTGACCGCAAATATGGAGCTAACGTCTTCAGATTGGGCAGAAAATGGGTCAAATCAGTCGAAGTACACGCCCACTGTCCCACGTAAATTGGAACCACCTCTGTCTTTTAAAAGGAAAAAAAGGTTGGTGTTCTGCTTATAACTCAAGCTATCGCAAATAAATTTGAACGCATATTCCATGGGCGATGTTGTAGTACGTATAGGAAAATGGAAAAGATTTACCGCTCCTACGCAACAGTATAGCGTATCAAATATATATATTTTTTTAATAGCCTTATAAGGCGCAGAAACAAGCTTCAAAGACTCCATAAAGTATATAAATTCCTGTCAAATTTAAAATGAACACTGCACTTCGTTCACATGCATTTTACTTTATAATATTTCTAAGATCCAAAAATGGCTTTCAGTTTTCTTTCAAAAGTGAAATAAAGAGAATGGAACTTTTATTTCATTTTTCAATTGAATAGAACATTAATATTATTGCTCTTGTTTATTGTCTTCTATTTGCAAACCTATTTAGTTTTTTCAACTTTAGGAATAAGGCGTCGACCACCCCTTTAAAACCCAATTGCGACCTGGAAGATTTGCTTTGAAAAACAATTTCGCAGCTACAGATTTTCTCCTTTCACTCTCATCAGAGGAAGTTCAAAAACATATGCATTTGCAAGATACGCCGCATAAGGTTCAAAATGTGCATGGCATGTACACAAAAGCTCGTAAATATATGTATGTGTATATTATTAATTTTTTAAAAAATTTTTCTTTTTATTTCAATCTCAATATATATTATCGTATGATTCTTCGCGATATTATTCTTTAAAGACTTGCAAAGTAAGTCTTTTTTATTTTTGTGGTATTTCCTCGTGACTCGGAGCATTCTATTTAATACATTATTTTGTATAAATCATAAATTTTTTTATTTAATATTTTCTCTTCATACTTCATCTACTTATTTAATGTTGTTTTAAATCTTCTTCCTTACAGATGTTACACCCCTTACCATTGACTTCTTGAGTTTAGCTCGTTAATCTCTTTTATATTGGCCTCTTCAACCTTTATATAGGCTAAGGATTCTTTTAAAGAGTGACTTGAGTAAATCATAGTCACCGCTCTCCTCGTGACTACTTTACTCTTCCCTAAATATGACTGAGAAAGTGTGCTCCTTCAATTCAATTTTAGAAGCTGTGAATGTCGATACGGATGTTCGCCCTGAGTTAGAGCATAACAAACATTTTATTTCAAGCATTTCAAGTACAAATGACGGTTCCTCGCTTGCACATGAAAGAGACCTATCGCAGGCGGCTTTAAATGTGCCGCCATCCGATGAAATGGAATCATCTAGCGACTATCCTCTGGATTCCTCCGGCAGAAATTTTCATTTGATGCCAAGCGACGGTGATGCAGGCAGCGCTAATGGTACGGTTATCACCTCAGCCACAAGTAATGCTGTGGACTACTATTCAACAATGCATAGCTCACAACTTTTGGCTTTATCCAGCGATTCGTCACCATTAAATTACAATCAAATTCCAGGCAATAGTGCAACATCGGCGTTGACAAGGACTGGAACTGCTAAACCAATAATAGCACAAAGTGTAGCTGGGGTAAGTGAATTTCATAGTCATTTACATGTATTACTGATATAAACTGCATTTATAAGTTGTTGTTAACGTTTTTTGATATTCTAGTATTGCTATTGTTCTGCTTAATGCACCCTCCAGATAGGATTATAAATATAGTTCTACGTAAATAAATAAAAGCAATCTAGCGAACTTTATGCGAGTAGTTATTTATAAATTATAATTTTTGTTGGTTGCTGTTAATACTTTAGCCGTTATGGATTCGTTCTGGTAGTATAGTTCATTATTTTGCCCTAACATTGTGAGAAGAAAGTATGGGTTATACGGTTTGTGTTATCTACCTCCTGGAAGTTATTTTTTAGCTGTCTAGCTTGTCAAATCTCCTCTTTCTTGTTAATAGTATTCAGTTTGATTCTCAATTTTTCGGGGGAGTTGTCGATGCTATGCATTTAAAAACTGTTCTGCTTTCGCTGCGTAACATTTGTCGAACCATCAGTGTCGATTGCGTCTGGCATTAACTGTTTCGCCTAAGCTTTAACATCATTCTTGCCTCATCAAATAGAAAAGACCGCTTTGCTGCTAAAGCAATTTGGCGTTCGGATGAGTCTGGATTGCACATCTCGGTCCGCCCATGAATTGTTACGCTAGGAATTCTCAAAAAAAATCCATTTCTCATCTTCAGTAACCGCAACATGCGAAAACAAGTTTCTTTTGTATCGCGAGAGCAAAAAAGCAAAAAAAAAACGATCGGCGAATGGTCTCCATTTAGCACAACATTCGATATTGTTGTTTTTGGGAATGTATTCCTACATGCGTTGGTGATTGCCGCCATATGTCCAATGTATGAAGAAGGCACAACAACAGGTATGTATGTCCACTACAGGAGATGTTAGCCAGCCCGGTCATGTCGAATCCATGCCAATATTTGCATGCTTTAACTACTACTTTCTACGCTGTTAACATCTCTACCGAAGTTAGATACGCTTCAACAAAAGACGCATTTGTGTTCACTTGATTCTTTTACTAAAGAAAAGAAGGTGCTCCCCAAATTATAATATTACATATATATTTTGTTCAACATCCCATAACCAGGAAGGCTATTATGCTTTCCTTCTTTAAGAAGAAACTAAAAAGGAGGGAAAGAAGGCTCACGGTTGTTTTGTTTCGCTCGTCTTTGCTTCTTTTTCATACGAACCGAAAGAGTAACGAAGGTATCAAACTAAATATTTAATGCGGGATGCATGCCGGATTGTTGGATTGCCTAGACATTAATGTATAATCCGGGTTGGATCAATAAATTGAGTGATGTTGAAACTATCTAGATGAAGATGTGGGCTTCAAACTTAATTTGTGGAGATGTTGGAAAAAATTTAACCCCTATTCTAATTTTTCAAAAAAGGTTTGAGGTCAAAATTTTGTTTACAATAAGTGAACAGACGGTGAACAATTATTACTTACAAAATCGGTTCTCTATTTTTCTTGTGTTCTCGATTCCTACGCATATGTCTTGCGCATATTTGGCTATGATGTGCATAAAAGGTGGCCTGGAAGTTCCTTCCTTGAAATCATTAGCCGCTTGAGTGGCAAAAAAAACTCTAAAACTTTCCAGAGAAGAACTTTTTTTCAGTGAAGAAAAAATATCTTTCTATTAAGATTCCATTAAGACGCTGCTAGTTTGCATTGGGAATGGCCGGACTAAAGAAGTGCAAATATATTTATTGTTTCATACACTTGGTACAGCCATCTATTCAAAAACGGACGCAAGCGTTACTAGACAAGAATTTTAGAGATCATGGGCAAAATGAGAACGCTTTAGAGAAAGCGAGAACTGGTGTGGCGTAAATGCATTGAAAACCTGCTGAAAAACTCCGCTAAACTCATGGCTGAAAAATGGGGAGATTTACATAAACACATTGATTCTACTCGTTACCGTTATATAATTTTAAACTATCTTCTTTTTCTCGTTTTATATAAGTCTGATTCTTCACAAATTGAATCAAAATGCATTTGTATTGCATCGAAATGTTGATTACTATCAGTATTTTTTAAGAGTCCACTGTTTTCCTCGCTTTAGAGCAACCTGCACTTTGAAAATCAAGTAAAGACTTAACAATATTACAAAAATATAGATACCATTTAAAAAGTAAACATTTCGTATTCTGCAATATTATCTATGTGTCTAGGGTTTGGGGGCAAGGACAATCAATATTGATTATCTTGTATCAACTGGCGCCGACTTTGTCGAAGTAAGGCTTTGCATGAAATCTATTTTATTTTTTGCGATTGTTTTTAATGAAACTCCTTATTGTATTGTATTGGGACACATCATTGTTCAAACTTTTTTCAAAGCATTTCGGAAATTGCCTTCTTTAACTTGAACATAAAAACACAAAATTTACTGAGAAACTTTGGTGCAAGATATACTTTTCTTTATCTTTTTAATCTACATCAATTCTTAAAAACCTAATTCAATTCTTGAAAGTAAACTTTCATTATTTTTTTCGCCTTTTAGAAAGCTTGTCGATTTCCCAAGCTTGAAGAGTGTGCTCATTTTCATTATGAACGCGTTCAATTAGGGCCATTGACGGTGCGTCTTGTGGATGATAAATCGGATTTGCTGACCAATAGTATTGCCTCACAATCTATTGGTGGCGATATAGCTAGTTCAACTGGCACAGCCGGGATGGGGCTCACATCTTTGCGGCCCTTTTCGCCTTCTTCGTGTTGGTTTATAATTAAAGTCCTACCGCATCGCTCCGACGCATTTCTTATTAAACGTTCCTTTGATAATGTGCAAATGTTAGACGAAATGTTGCATCGTTGTGTTTATGATCGCAAAATTAGTGGCCTAAGGAATCTAAAAGAAGTCGAATTTAAAACGGAAGAAGAGGTTGAATATTTGGTGGTCAAATACTTAGAAAGGTTTTCGAAAATCGCTTCAGATTCTCTGACTTGTGGTACGATATTGACGTGGTTTCAATTAGATAACAAAGGAAGGCGTTTGCCATTGGCTGATGGGGATACAATGCGTTCGATTAACACCCCTGCTGTGGGTGCTGCTTACGGTGTTAGACGTTATCAGGCTCAGGCTTCGGATGAAATCTCTATCGAAGTCGGCGATATGATATCGGTTATTGACATGCCATCACCAGCGGAGTCGATTTGGTGGCGTGGCAAAAAGTCGCACTTACAAAAATCTCACTATGAAGTTGGATTTTTTCCGCAGTCGTGCGTTGCAACCATTGGTGATAAAGTACCTCGTAATTTTCCTATGCCAGCTCCATTGGTGGGCCAACTGGATGTTTCACCAACTAAACCAGTCTTACGTAAACATGGCAAGCTTATAGCCTTCTTTCGGTCCTTTATTCTTTCGCGCCCTTCACGGCGCCGTCTAAAACAAAGCGGCATTTACAGAGAGCGCGTTTTCTCCTGTGATCTCTCCGAGCATTTACTAAATAGCGGTCAAGAAATACCGATGGTGTTGAAGTGTTGTGCCGAATTCATTGAAGAATATGGTATTGTGGATGGCATATATCGTTTGTCGGGTATAACCTCAAATATACAAAAACTGCGACGAGCCTTTGACGAAGAGCGTGTACCCGATTTGGGAAATCCTGAAATGAAACAAGATATTCATGCCGTTAGTTCTTTGCTAAAAATGTATTTTCGTGAACTTCCAAATCCTTTATGTACGTATCAATTATACGATAATTTTGTGGAAGCTATACAAGCAAAGAGTGAAACAAATGAACGGCTGCGTCTGATGAAGGAGACAGTGTTGAAACTTCCACCGCCACACTACAGGTAACTGAATAAAATAGGAAACAAAATTTCAGTGTTTGTATTGCGTCGATAAATTTCAGAACTTTACGATACCTATCAGAGCATTTAAACAAAATTTCTCAGCATTCGGAACGGACGGGTATGACAGATAAAAATCTAGCAATAGTCTGGGCACCGAATTTACTTCGATCCCCCGCTTTGGAGTCGGGAGGAGTGGCTGCTTTAAGGGGCGTCGGTGTTCAAGCAGTTGTCACCGAATATTTGATCAAAAATTGTCATCACATTTTCGATGTTTTGGAAGAGTCCGCGACGCGTTTAAGCTATATAGCGACTCAAGGAGCTCAACCAATCATGACAGACTTGCGAATGGATAGTCTAACCGACTGTGAGAGTTTGTTGGTAGAGCAGCGAGAACACGATCAGTCTCTGTCCAGTGTAGAAAGACCGAAAAGTCTTAGTGCCGGAGGTCCAAAACTGATAAGCTTAGAAGAAGCTCAAGAAAGACATATGAAATTAGATGGATTCGATATGAAACAATCTATGCCCATTAATATGATGGCTAGTGTTAATGCGGGTACTAACATAGGATCCTATATAGAAGTCGGCGGCGGTCCTTCAAGTTTGCCTGATAAATATCATACAGTTCTATCAGTACCACGTAGTTGGCAGAAACGTAAGACTCACTCATGGAAGTCGCTTTTTACGCGCACTCAACGCCCTGTAAGTAATGGGGCAACACAAGACATGAAGTCTTCCATTTCAGCACATGCGCAAACAAGTAGTGGTAATGCTTCTGTATCGACGTTAGGTAGACAGAAAGAATCTGCCGTCACATTTGCTGATACTGATCAGATTGCTGTTTTGAATGGAAAATCGGTGGTAAAAAGTTCATTGTTGAAGCGAGATGATAAACACAAATCTATTGAATTATACGAAACGTCACATTCATACTGCGGTGAAGGCAGTAAACCTATTGAAGTATGTGTACGCTCTAATTCCATAGACAGTTTAAGGACAGCGGGACATTCACGTTCGGTGTCTCACGATTCATACTTTGATATTTTACAGTCTCCTCAGCGAGCCCAAATGACGACTTGCCCCTCGAGGTAAAACTTACAAGAATGTTTTTGTTGTCTTTAATTCTTACATTAATTTGCAGGGAACTTTCCGAATTGGGGTTAAATTTCGATCGCGAGGAACCCGAAATGCGGATATTCTCTGAAAGTGAATCATTGGTTAGTTCTCCGCGGGTAGGTAAAGAGAATATACCACCATCATCAGGTTTTACGACGCGTCGTGTTTTGCGAGCTCGACCCGAAGAGTTTTCCAGTCAGACAAACAGTGTCAATCCTAGCCCCAAAAAGCAACCACGTTTGAATTTGTTACTCTCTCCTTCCTCCGCAGCCAACCCCAATAACTGGCCTCAAGGCAATACCGGCCCCGATGGTGTTGGGAGCGATTGCAACAGCGACAATTGTCTAGAACACACCGGTGATGAAAGTGGTTCTAAGCGTTATAAACTCGAAGATCAACTTTCAGATATACAGTACATCGATTGTGGTACCCCAGAACATAGCATATCCAACCCTCAAACTGTATATGCAAATGCCCAAATACATGGATCTGCTAAATCTGGCGTATCAAAAGGCTGCTGTAGTCATGTTACCGAAATAATGTCAGAAGATGCGGCTAAAATGAATACGAATTTACATAATAACCCCGCGCGTTACAGCTACCCTACGGTTCATTTAGGTACAAAGCGCAAAGACCAGGATAATAATGTTTTGACTGGAAGTGGAGGCAGTCAAGCCAAGGAACGCTTTAGTTATCCCGGTTCTACACTAAGTAATGAGAGACGTTTCTGCCCCAAGGACTCAATAAGTAAAATGTTAGTAGAAGAAATAGGAAGAAGCAAAAATCAGAAAGTTTGCAATAGTAGCGTGAACTCTAGGTAAGTTCCATAAAAAGAGAAAAAATCGAAAATTTTTTTGCTTCTATGGCATTACAGAACGGTGCATCTCAGTGGTTCTCGCACCACCAGCAATTCCACTAGTTCTTCTCCCAAAACTTTGAAACATCATATGGCAGCTAAACCCGGGTCATACGACCTGTTAAAAGTAAAAAATCGAAATAGTTATTGCTGCAGTATAAGTGATACATTGCAGCAACAACTGCTACGTAGTTGTTCGGCAGAGATAGCTGAAGATAATGCGGGAGTGTTTCATAACAAAATATTGTCGAATGAAATGGAATTATCGAAAATATCAGTTACACCCTCTTCTCCTTTGCAAAGTCCTCGCTATTCTTTGCTGCTTGCCGGCGATACGAGTTCAGAGAATAGTTCGGCGGTACAAACGCCACAGCACGACTTGGATCCACTGATGGTGAGCTCTGTTATGTCGGGCATTTCAGCGGCCTCCTCAAACCAAGTACATCAGTTATTGCTGGGTATGGACTCAGCCAGCTATTTGGACTCTTCGCATGAGAGCTTGGAGAGTAATGTAAGCTAACCAGTTTCCTGGCCTTGAGAAATAATGAATAATATGTTATTATATAATTTTAGCATTCCGATAAACGTGATATGCAAGCCTTAAGATGTGAATTATCTCTGGATTTGAATCCTTTGAGCACAAAGTTCCACTCTACAATCCCCGACTTGACAGTGCAAAGATTACAACAGAATTTGAATTCACCTAACAATTCAAATATCACAGACAACACGAGCCAATCTGTAACTCCTAGTGAATTTGGCTACCAGCATTTACAAAGACAGCTAAGCATACATTCACTCTTGGGAACGGAAGATAATTCGCCAACTTATGAAGAATATGAAAATACTCCTAGCAATATGAATTCGCCTATGAAATTGGTTTCTAGTCCTCTGAAAGCGACAATAAATATTACTTACAACATGAAGAGCCCCACAAAAGAAGAGCTAAAAAGTAATATGAAATGCTCTTTGAGCGGTAAAGAGAAGCCATATAGTAGAGCTTTGTTGGAAACTAGTTTTGATGAAACCACTGTTTATGAACAAGTAAAATTTTTTAGAAATTCTGTAACCGAAGTTAATGAACTATTAAACGAAGGCAGTAAATATCAAGTTCCGGAATTGGAAAATTTGGCTGAGGTAGAAGAGTTAAGTGACAGCGAAAATGAAGATAAAGATAATGCAGTGAAAATCGCGGAACAGAAGCTTTTGGATTTTGAAGAAAAACATAAAGAAAATATTGAGGATATTAATATGTTGGAGGGCGCATTGGCACGTGATAAATTGTTGCTCTATGAAAACATAGAATTGCGTAAACCTAGTAGGGTTTATCAGAATTTGTTAGGAGAAGAAATGAAACATAACAATCAACAAGACCAAGATGAAACTGTGAAGCTATTAGAAAATGAAGATGATGAGGAGGAAGAAGAAGTGGAACTAGATAGTTTGGATAGCATTAAGGAAAGAGAAGTTCCAAGTACAGAAATCTCTACTGCAGCTAGGAGGTCACCTTCAAATCTTAGTGTGAAAGAATTGGCTACGCGATTTGAGCACTCACCGGTTGAATCTTTGCCAACATTGGATTTTGTGTCTAATTCACGCAGTTCAATAAGACGACCTTTAATATCTCAGACCACCGACAAATCTGCTAAACTTCCGCAGACGTCTTCTAACATAATCAAATCAAAACTTAACAAAATCCCTCAAATAACACGTTCCTTAGATGAGAATGCGTTTGTACGAGAATTTGGTATGAAAACATTGCAAGATTTTAATATAAGATGTTCTCAACAATTATCTGATTCCTCAGAGATTAACCGTCGGAGAAAAAGTTTCGATTTCACAAAGCCTAAAACACTAAATCCTCCTAAACGTTTACCTGGTGTACCGATAACAGAAGAAGCGGTTTATGTCAAGTTGGCAGGAAAAGCGTCTTCAAAAATTGATTTGCTCAAAGAAAATAATTTCAATACCTTATGGAGTCCAAATGACTCCTCATTGGAACATGATTATGAATCTGCAGAATTGAAAATAACACCAACAACGGAAAATCGCATCTCATTGATACAGAATAACGTGGCGATTGCTACCAATGAAATTTCACCGAGTGCTCACATATCTGCCGATTTAAACAATTCTAATTTAACGCCTGTCAATACTAGTTTAAAAGTTTTATCTGGCGTTAAGTTAGATCGTGAAAGAATTGATCGTATCAAGGAAGAGCGGCGGCAACAATTAACTCAAAAGTACCATACGGACTCATTTAAATCGAAATCTAAAACTGATTTGCATACTTATAAGAACGATGATGAAAAATTTTCCAATGACTTGTCGTTACGCATCAAATCCAAATCACGCGCCGATATGCGTACTTTGCAAAGAGACATGGACAACTTAAAAGAGTTTGGTTGCAATCCCCCTATTACTGCGGTATCAGAGTTAACACTCAATATACCATGTCGTATGCGCAGTATATCCGATGAGAAAAACCAGAACGTTTGTGATAATAGCACTGCTACTGATAGAAGTTTAGCAGAGGTGGGCAACAACGGTTCGGGAATATTAAAAGATGGTAATCGGAAAGAACCTGAAGAATATTCGGCTCGGGCCACTGTGCAAAAATTTGAACGTAAAAGCAGCGATTTTGCTAATGGTATCGCAACTACTTTAATGAGCGGCCGCGAACGTCAAAAGTCAATAGAACCTGCAACGTTAGCAACAAATACTAGTACAGGCAGAAGCAGCTCAATTGCGAAGTAAGTAAAGGACAAATACAAAGCAGTTGTTATATCATATATGTTAGAGCTTATGTCTGCTTCTTGAATTCCTTCAAAAGGGAAGAAGAAACTGAATACACATCGGTAATTTTTATTGTTACGAATTGAAAAGCAAATGTTTACAGAAACCCATATGAAAAATTTTAAGTTGTGGAAGCTATTTCACTTTTCTCTGAAACTCTTATCATATCCGTTGTGTGTAATTCACAAATTATCTTTAGTATTAAATGATCTATTTAACAAAATCTGATTATCTTCTGTGTTTCTTCTTTTTCTTTTTTTTGCCATTTCAGCCGTGAAAAAATATCTCCACAATTTTCCATACGCGATGTTACGGCTATGTTTGAATCTCGTTCACAAAATCAATAGTAAATTAAAACGAAAATATAAAAAAAAAAATATGTTAAGAAAATGTATTGATTAACAAAAAGGAACAATATCCTCAAGACGACGAGTGAAGAGATTTTTTTATATATAATAGATAGTGTTAGTATAGACATTACTCCAATATTTAACTAAGTTGTATTGAAGAATTCTCTTTTAAAACCCAAAGACTTGATTGAAAAAAATCTTTTCTTGCTTAATTCTCAGCATTTACCATACTCATAAATCATTGCTTCAAAGATTAAACACAATGTATGTATTCTATATTAAAGACTGAATCTCAACCGATGACATTAACTGCCTGTCAGCCTGTTAAAATTACGGGTCCATTTGCAAAATTTGAATGCGTAAACTAGCAGCAAACGGTTATCGTTGATTCCAAAATTTTTAAAAGCAAAGCTGTTTCGTCATTAATTTAAGAAAGGAGGTTCAATGGTTAACTTATAATACTCGAATTACGTAATTTTTCTCTTAATTTTGCTCTCACACAAAGATAAGATGAACTTTTGAAATTTGTCTTTGTTATGAACTTGCCGGCAGTGTCACGATCAACATTTTAAATTTAGTCGTTTTTTGGTCTCCTTTGTTTTAATCCGTACCTGCCGAATGAATATATACTAATCGAGACTTTTAGTTTCTTATGCCTAGAAATGCACACTGCACACGCACAACAATTGGTGAAAAAGTTGAACATTGGATTTTAAAATGGTTTTATTAATAATGTTATTGCCGATTAGCAAAAAAAACTTTGCGACAATACTTTTGCCTGTTTTCCGAGTAACTATTAGTTTGCGTCAACTAGCTTGCAATGTTTCGTTTCTGTCTGTGTATTTCATAATTATTTAAATTTTTTTTAAAAAGCATTTGCTCTTATTTTAATAAGAATATTTTTCCTTTTAATTATTGTTAGTTCTTGAAGATATCGAATAATTTAAATTAATAAGACCTTTTTGTTTACATGATTATTATTTATGTATCAATGAGGTTTGACGCCGCTTGGACCGGTATCTATTTATCCACAACACTTTAATAGTAACAAAATAAGTGAATTAATTTTCGAAAATTATAAAATATAATTCCATTAAGCGTGAATACTATGAATGATACTGCATTTGGCAGCTCGAAGCTATGCTGCAGGTAGCATGCTATGAATTTAGTAGCTAAGACGAACAAAGCTTTCTTTACCCGGAATGTAAGCTCCTTTTCTTCTTTTTATTTATATAACACATTTTTTATTTTCTAATTAGATCTTATTTATTTAGCGTTTCTGGTTTCTAAATATCTTTTTTTTTTAATATTAATTATTGAGTTATATATATGTCTTTTTATTATTCTTTAAAAGGTTTTTAAGTGCTTTATAGAAAGGTATGTAAGTAAAAAGTGAAGTTTGTTAAATTGTTTATATTATTTACTTTATAAAATAATACTAAAATGATGTCTAGCTCTTATATACAAAACACTGCACATGCGGCAACAATAAACATAAACCACATCATAAATTATGAGTTTCACTTTCGAATTAAAAAAAAAAAATGCAGTTCTTTGGTTAATTCAATAGAAAGTGAAAGATATTCCAATATCATTGGCTAGATTAGTATACAAAATAATTCTGAGTAGGGGGAATAAGTAATAAGTCGAAATATTATACAAGCCAAAGTTTTATTTACTTTTTATCAGATCAAATCTTCAAGTTTGTATAGTTTTTTCCATTAGCTAGTGTCATGTATCATATATTATGGCTGACACATTCATCGGAAATAGACTTCGCTAGTCAAACGCTGCTTTTAATAGCTAGTGCATTTTCGTAAAGGCCATTAAATTCCTTACATTATATATATATACATATCTGAACATCGGCATGTATGAGATGGCACATCATGTGAAATGACGTGGTCCAATATTAGTAAAGTAGCATACTTTGACAAAGAATTCATTATTCTTCACCTATTTTCACCAGAAAATACCAAATAATTTTTAGTCGATTGAGTTGCATACATAGGAGCACATCTAATATACCCTTATAACAAGTGGTATAGGAGGTGTAACTACAAAGTTAATAAATCTACTTAACGCATTGATTCGCCCTAATGTCAGAGTAGTTTTCCTATTGTAAATTATATTTTCTACTATAGCCTTTAAAAAAACCGATTTTTTTTAACGTTTTGCCATTGCACCAAAAACACGAATGAAAGATTTATATTATTTCAAATTGATAAAGAAAAAAAAAAATAAATAAATAAAAAAAATCAACTAATCGTTACCTAGCGTTGTATTTAAGAAACTGGTGAATGCGATCACAAATATATATAAAAAGAATATATCCATATTTCCATAATAAAATTTTTAAAATAATTACAAAATAGTCGAATGAAGTTAAAATTAAATAATAGTCAATGTATGTCGACAGAACAACTTTGGGAACCAAATGAATTAAATCAAATATATATTAAATAAATATTAAAAAAGAAAAAAAATTAAATATGAAATCTTTTGTAATCTACTAATAAATTAAAGAGGATTGAAAAAATGTTGCGAACAAACTTTTTATTTAAAGTAAATTTATTTCCATTACACACAAAAGCTGTGTAACGACTGGAAGAGATGCCAAATTTTCTGCTGAAAAAGATCGAAAATTTTCTTTAAAAAATTGTATTGAATTAAAACAGAAAAGCTTTAACAAATATGTTTATATAATAAAATAAAGTTTTGTACGTTTAATATAAGATAGAAAAAAATCGAATAGCGAAAATTTTTTTATTTTGACAAACTAATATTTAAGCTGAAATAATATGATATTCGAAAAAAATTAAATAAGTAAGCAAATTATATTCGACTATGACCGAATGTTTTATATTTATCACCGTTGTACCAAAAAAAAAAAAAAACTATAATGTCGGGTGGGCTTGGCCGATTGTTTGCTATTTTGGATTAGTAAATTATATTGTTTATCTCTTGTAGCTTACGGGTAAACGATCAAAAAACCCAGAAACTAAAGGTGCTCTCAGTTTTTGTTGCATTGTAGGCGTCGAGGGTAATTTCAAATCCTTTTGTACGTTTGTAAGCGATATCTTCATTTTTACGGAAGGGAAAATGTTTAACGTAGACACATGGTTAGGACGATGGACAGTAGCACAGGCAGACATGCCTAAATACATCCCGTGTTTGAATATATACAGTATATGGGGTTATTGAAGCTTGCTTCTGGGTGTTATTAAGGTTTTGAAAAAGAACTTGGTGACTTAAATTTTGTGTGAGGGTCGCCGATTTTTTTCATTTATTACAGATATTGTAGCATCACCCATAGAATGTACGTTTAAATCCTTTTGAATATATCCGTAAGCAACGAAAACCAACTTGGGTGCAAGAAATTCCAATGTTTCGGCCACATTTGAAGTTGCTAGCTTCAGTTTTGCGATTACAAGAGACTTTACACAGACGGATATGATTGAATGGATTCAGAATTTCACGCCGGCCAAAAATATGGTTGATGGGTATAAAAAAATCTTTTTTAGTCTATATGCTTAACTGCGTAGATGTTGGTAACCATGCCTTTCAAACACTCACGTATTGAAGTATGTAAGATAATTACATAAGAGCTATAAATCATTTTCAAAGTATTTAAGATAGCACGAGATGAAATTGAAATGAAGTTTTTTAAACCATTATTTGTGGCTTGGCTTACAGAAAAATCTGCACTCGCTACAGTTTTCTTCAAAGTGTAACGAAAATTCTTGTGATCGCACCATTGTCGTAGAATAATGACGTTCTCGTTCTTGCGGCCGCTATAAATGGCATCACATTAGCACTTTGCCGCCTATTTTATTAAATATAATTGAAGATAAAATTTTGATGACACGTCTCGAGAAGCACATGATATATTCTATTTTTCATAAACGAAGTCTTGAGTAGGCAAAGTAAGTTTGGGTTGAATTTTATTCCGGACATTATATCCATTTAGACAGAGGACGCTTGCGCTCCGTTGTGCTGGACTTATTGCTATGTAACTGAGAGGTTGCATATATCCTTCTCTTTTCTCTTTTGAGTTTCTTTAAAGTTATCCGGTGGAGGTGTTTGGGACAGCGATAGTCAATTAATGGAGTAGTGAACTAGTTTCTGGGTTTTCTAATAGTTTAAGACTTTATTCAAGTACATCAGTGTTGGAATAAATTTGAAAAGTTCAGAAGATAAAAATTGTTGTAATATCCTTAAAACCTTGACATTTGATATCAACCGTAATTTAAAAATTACATAAGAATCCACCATCCAAGTTCTTCCATTATATTTCAAATGAGTTTTGAGAAGTCGCGATTGATTATCTAAGATAACGACTAAATAATAAGGTGGTGAAAGCAGCCTCTTTTTTCGGCAAATAAATGTTTCGAAATTAATTAACTAACGAAGTACTTAATAACTTAACAAACTTCGGCATCTCGACAACATTATGTCTACAATAATTTTCAAGTTTTGCTTATGATGATTCAATATAGTCAGTCCAAAACGATTCGATTTGTCTTGAATTTTTTAAAGACTTGCCATTAACTTGCAGTGAAAGGAGAAATGCGTTCATTATGTTATGATTAATGCATTTTACGCTTAATTGCATATGAATAACTATATACGGTATTTACATGGAAATGAGTTTGAATACAAAATAATAGGAATTGTAAAGTTAATCATTCCTGAAAAGTAGATTCATAAGTAATTGCATCAACTAAAAAATATGTCCATATTCTGTCTTATTTATATGTGGATTGTCCCGATTAGAGGTGTGCTCAGATTGACGCGAATCTTTTGATAAGAATATTATGCGCAAGCCTCTGAACAAAGTTTTAAAGTCAAAATCTAAGAAAAAGAAGAACAAACTTTGCTTTCTTTTGCGTTTTTAAACGCATCCATGGACACACCAGGTGACTTGGAAGCTAATAATCTAATGGAAGCGATGGCAATGGAAGTTTCAATAGAAGAGCAAGCAGATAAGATAATCGGTTTCCGAATTTAATTGTATACATGTTGTTGCACGTTTGTCGTGCTTGCAATAGTTTTTTTTTTTTTGTTTTTAATCAAATTGTAAATTAAAATAATTTCTGAAGGCTTGCATTAACGAATGTTCATATATGGATAACACAAAGAGAGAAGACATTTTCTTAAGTCATTCGATTTATCATCCAAACTGGAAACGACACAATTTATATGAAATACATTTGCATAAAATCTATTTGCTATAGAAAAAATCTTTTATAAGAAAAATATAAAATAAAAGCAATAATTATAAGTGTTCTTTCTCCCAACCCGAAGATTAAACGATATTAAAATACAAGGAAAGAAAGAATGTACTCGAAACTGGTCTATACATATATATATTAAAAATATATACTATAGCATTTAATATTAACAAATATACATACAACTATTTTCTAAAACTCGAGGATAAGATGACACAAAGCTAAACAATAAAATTAAAAGTGCTTGAAGAACCACGTTCTTCTCCAAACCTATTCGAAACAAAATTTCATAATAATAATAATAATAATAATATTAATATTAATAATAATAACGATAATAATATTAATGTTTTGTATTTTTATATTTGTATAAATTTATTATGATTGTTTTACGGTTTGAAAGTAGTATTGCAACTGTCTGTATTTAATATTTTATTGCACGTTTTTTTTCTTCTTTTTTGATCGGTTGTAAGTTTTTTATTGTAGCTTAAAATGTAAGATGACGTTTACATCTTATATAAAGTTGGAACAGAAAAATTAATTAAGAAAAGTAATTTAATTTTAAATATAACTCAATTATTTAATTTATAAAATTCAATCTACTATGAGAAATGTGTTTATGAAATAAAAATTTACTAAAAGTTTCGGATACTGTTTGAATTTTTTATTAACGAGTATTTAA